GAGAAGAGATTTCCGGTTGGCAGGGGCCCCTTCCCTGGCTTCAGGTCACTCGTATGTACAGGACAGACATATGGCGTGCACAGGGAACGTGGAATGCCCCTGATTCTCTAAACAAAAGGTGACATGCAAGGAAAGGAAACAGCAGGGAAACAGTGCTCCTTGCTCATTAGACGTTTACATGAAACAGGGAAAATTCCCAAAGTATCTATTAAACAACCAAACCCAGTCAAAAGAAAAGTAAGCAAATGGGGCCAGGCGCCACGTGGCTCCACGTTCAAAAATCCCCAGCCAACTTTTGGGAAGGACCGGAAGTGGGGTTGGGATTACCTGAGGTTCAGGCGTTCGAGGAGACCAGCCTGGCCAACATGGGTTTTGAAACCCCTCCTCTACTAAAATACAAAAATTAAGCTGGGCGTAAAAAGTAGCAAATGAAGCCTATTCAATATAACCATGAAATAAACTAAATTCAGGAGTTAAGTGCTGCAACAAGGAAAGATTAGCTATTCCTATCTCTGCGTTTGGTGGCTTTAGTAAAATGGAGGTCAAGAGATCCATTTCCCTTCCAGGCACTGGGACCAAGCACTGCTAGTTTCTATTCTGAGAGAGACCGGCTCTTCCATGTTGACATTTACTGAAACTAAGTATCGAGTGTCAACAAAAGCCTAAAGACAAAGAGCAGAAAAACAAGTGGACTTTTCTGAAAGAAAGGCTGCCAGGAAGCCCTGCGAGCGCCAGGCTCTCTGCTGAGGAAGGGCCCGCCCAGGTGCAGGAAGGCGGAGGACCTACCTCGTGCGGGGCTCCTTTGAAGACACTTGCAGACTGGTAGATGGTCTCAGTCCAGAGCTTGAGGTCTTCGTTCTCCAGCTCCTCCGCAGTCCGGTACAGAGATTTGGGGACCAGTCCGCCCTCTGGCACTTCGCACTGGAAGCAGAAACACAGTGGTGAAACCTGTGCAAACACAAACCAACCCCACGAAACCCCGACACGCCAGCCAGCACCATCCTCCTGCGCTTAACTCCTGGAAGTTGCTAAGAAAATGGAGAACACTGGCAGGGTCGTAAAATACTCTGCACTGCTGAGCAATATGTTTTTAAAAACCACTTAAATACATGTGTTTTACTTTGCATAAACAGGAACAAGTTGAAGCTGAAGTAGCATAGAATTCCTACTAACACGCGTGAGGCACTGCCCCCAGTTACTGAGGCTGGCTCACAGAAGCCCTAGCGTCTTTATAATGCGCTATAAAGGAAGCCCATTACTTTAAGAAAAGAGTTTTGCTCTCAATAGCCACAGGCATCATTTTTATGATAGGAAATTATAGTCCAGATATAGAATCAATGAATAATGTTTTGTGTCTCAAGTCAAATGACTGGTCTATAACACCAGCCAAAAACTAATGAAGAACTTCTTTTGAATTTGCCTGAAACAAGTTGAATTAGAATTTGTACGTATCATAAATCTCCTAATTGATCTTTATACAATGACTCTACAGTAAAGTTCATAAAATCGAAGTCCTCCTTTCTATTAGCCTTGGGAAGCAACTACATAGAAAAGAAACACTTCAGTCTTCAGCCTGCAAAGTGTCAAAGCAGCGATGTCGTGTTGGAAAAATACCAAACTGACCCCTGGTTGGTAATCTCTAGCCACCAGAGAGCAGACGTGAACAACCTCCTTTCAACTACCAGCCTGGACAGCAGCTCAGGAGGGTGGTGAAGAAGTCTTAGAAGGCCCGAGTTTTTGGACAGCTCAATTAACCACAGAGACGCTCAGCATTACACACACACTACGGAGGTCGGCATGTGACAAACAGGTGCGACTGGCGGCGAGGCAGGTCTCCTTGTGCTCCGGCTCAATTCTTTGCGTCATAATTGGAAACAGCAACAACATGGGACGGCTAGCTCATATGAAAGGAGTTCAGAGGTTTCTACAAACCTGAGCCTGCAGTTTAACCTCACAGGCACTTGCTAAATTCTGGTCCTGTAACTTTTACTGTAACTTACTTGCTCTTTGCATTGCACTGTGATGATGCCCGTAATTTCCTTAAAGTGGAACTGATGAAGTGAAAGCTAAATTCGTTTTCTAAATTTCTATAACCATTCAGAAAGTCCAAAGTCCCGAATGTCCAATTCATTAGCTAAATACCTGAGTCAAACCCAGTGGGTACACATCTCTAACGGGTAACTGTGTATGACGGATGACTAGAGAGCCCTTCTGATAAGAAGCTTCACCCCCTGTGCGTTCAGCCGCCACAGTGTGCCATGGAACAAGTCACTGGGACTTCTACAGGCTTTGGCTTCCGCAATGCTCCCATGGCACAACTGTGCGCCATGGGCTAGAAGCCTACAAGGACCCCAAGGTTCTGAGCTTCTCTGAATACAGGGTAAAGAAGAGGAGGCCTCTGCTTCGTTACCCAGCAACTCAGTGTATTAAAAACCCCAAACATATGTTGAGAACCACTTCCCTTCGTTTTTTTACTTTAAAGATGTTATCCAGGCCAGGCGTGGTGGCTCATGCCTGTAATCCCAGCACTTTGGGAGGTCGAGGTGGGCGGATTACTTGAGGTCAGCAGTTTGAGACCAGCCTGGCTGACATGGTGAAACCCGGTCTCTACTAAAAATAAAAAAATTAGCTGTGGGTAGTGGCACATGTCTGTAATCCCAGCTACTTCAGAGGCTGAGGCTGAAGAATCGCTTGAATCTGGGAGGCAGAGGCTGCAGTGAGCTGAGATCGCGCCATTGCACTCCAGCCTGTGCAACAGAGCGAGACCCCATCTCAAAAAAAACCCAAAAAAACAAAAAAACAAAAAAAAGTCATCCAGCCTGGGGCAATATAGTGAGACTCTGTCTCTACAAAAAATTAGCTAGGTATGGTGGTGCACGCCTATAGTCCCAGCTACTTGGGTGACTGAGGTGGGAGGATCACCTGAGCCCACGAAGTCAGGCTGCAGTGAGCTGTGATCGTGCCACTGCACTCCAGCCTGGGTGACAGAGCCGGACCCCGTCTCCATAAAAAAACAAGGAGGGGGAGGGGCAGGTGGGACATTTTGAGAACATTCAATTTTTTAATAGCATTTTTTAAAATATGACAGCTCCTCTAAAATGGTTTAAAGATCTGATTCACACAAAGCCGTGTGAATAAAGCAAGCTACAATTGTATTATATTCTACAACAAATTCTCATTTTTATTTAATAATGAAGAAATGTACAGTATCAACAATTACTTAAATGGTTCTCTTTAACTTAACCCTGGATCAGAGAAATGGCGGCCAAAAGAAACAAAACAAAAACAAAACATCCAAATGACTGGAAGTTCTGAAAATCATTTGCGCAAATCAACACCGACCTCTCCCACCTGCAAAAGGGGCCAAATGTGCAGTTCCTCGCCTCAAGACATACCATGCACTCTCCACTCAGGAAATCTGGAATAATCTCTTTGTCGATGTAGTCCAGCAGGCCTCCAGGACCCTGGTAGTCATTTCCGGCATAAATGAGGAATTTCCTTCTGGTGTTGTCATCAATGAACGGACTAACCTGTGAGGAGCAGAAGGCCACGCAGTCACATTTCTCTGCTGCCTGAGTGTCCAAGATTAAAATGACAATGTGGTATCCTGAGTGGGAGGGTGGGGGGAGGAAATTCAAGTTTATATACTTCTTCTGTAAAGTCTAGTTGCATGGCATTAGGACACTCAAATTTTGTTTTTCCCCTCTCTTAAACAATTTGAGAAATCTTATAGCTTTGCATGCTTTTTTCCTAAGTAGTTACGACTTTAGGTCACAGACACATATATGAATGCATGCGTGTCTGCTTTCCAAATGGCTCACAGTTACTGCAAAAAGCATCTCAACGCACCAGCGTCCAGAGCACAGGAAACACCCTGGGTGCCCGCAGGATGAGCAGGCGGCCCAGTGTCTCCGGGTAGTTGGCCTCCACCACCTCGATGATCCGCAGCAGGGCTTTCACACCAGGTCTCCACAGGTGGCGCATGTTCAGCCCTTCCAAGTCCACCAGGCAGGTCCACGAGCTGCGGTTGTGCAGAGAGGTGTTTCATTCGACAGACAGCACACTTAGCAAACTACGTCTTCTTATTTTTTTTCCTTTTTGGTCATTTATAGCTATTTCTAAATACATCATAATCAGTTTTTTTAAAATTAGAGTGCTATGAACTCTGTTTATATCTACTTGTACAAAACACACAGGATCAGTGTGGTAGGACCAAGGCCTGAAACTGCAATTAAGGCTGATTGATAATGCATGAAAAGCTCTCTCAGATATGCTCAGTGAGCCGGCAAGCAAAGCCATACTGTGCTGTCCTTGAAGTGCTAAACCGCCCCACTAACCTGCCATCAACAGGGCACACAGCTGGTATTTTAACACATATTGTGTCTGAACTGCAGTGGGCTATGCTTCAACAGAGAGAGAGAGAGAGAGAGAGAGAGAGAGAGAGAGAGAGAGAGAGAGAGAAGCGCTGTCTCAGGAGCTGAGAATACAGCAATCAGCAAAAGGCCCTCAAAATCCCTGTTCTCACGGAACTTATATCCCAGTGAACCATCTACACCCTTATCAATGTCAACCTTTGAATCACTAAACATTTTCAGAACTCTTTACTACAACTTAAAGCTTGGTTTAAGAACACAGAGTCATCTGAGTGGGGAGGGGAGGCAAAAACAAGCAAAGGACCTGCAGCCCTGGGCTCCCACAGCCCACGCAGACTAAGCAGACAGGCCAACCCACTCAGGCTGATGTGACAGCAACGCCTGGGGTCAAAAAACCCTAAGTGTTCTGTCCCTTGTCACTAGCATATTACATGTTCACCTCTTTTCTACCTTTTAGAGCACCCTGGAAAATAATAAGCAGATTTTAATTCCAAAAATCAACTAGAAATATTTAATGTGTTTTCTCAGTAAGTTGAAAGGAAAAACAAAACCCCACATCTACCTGATAGGCCGACCGAAGACTTTCGTATTCTCTTCGCATCGCCTTAGCCCTTCTTCATTTATGGAGAGAACCTACATACAAAAGGGCATGAAAATTGTCCATGATTAGTCTAAGACTAAAACTACCCCGTCCAGCTATGGAAGAGGGACACTAACAGCGTATGACAGATAAGTATGTAAACCAAAAAAGTGACCTATGCAGATTTTCTTACACATTCACATGCGCTAACTAAACACATCACCACCAACAAAAATATTTTACTCTTGACAGAGAACAAACACTGTCGTGTGCGGCAAATCAAAGGTAACGACTATCCAAAGTGAGGCGCAGAGGAATCCTCAGATGAGCAGGGGCCTGGCTCTGGGGCTCTGTCTTCAGAACAAGCGCAGGGGAACAGCAGATGAGCATCTGTGAGTGTGGGAACACTCTGATACCACATGTGCCAACCAAGAGAAAAGGCAGCCTTAGAACAGACGTAAGGCATGGCTCAAGCGATCCTTTGCTTTAGGTTAACAAACCCTTCCCCTGTAGATAAAGACCATCCCCATTTTTATGTGTGATCGTGTGCATGTGGGGATATATAAACACACATGGCGGTGGGGGCAGACTAACACAATACACAAGGGAATACCAACAGTGAGCCAGGCTCAGTGGTAGTGTTTGTAGTCCCAGCTACTAAGGAGGCCGAGGTGGGAGGACCGCTTGAGGACAGGAGTTTGAAGCTGCAGTGAGTCGTGATCACACCCAGGAATAGACACTGCACCCCAGCCTTGGCAACAGAGTCAGACCATGTCTCTTTAAAAAAAAAAAAAAAAAAAAGTGCTGGCCAGGCAGGAGGAGCTCATGCCTGTAATCCCAGCACTTTGGGAGGCCGAGGCAGGAGGATCACCTAAGGTCAGGAGTTCAAGACCAGCCTGGCCAACATGGTGAAACCCTGCCTCCACTAAAAATACAAAAAAAATTAGCTGGGCATGGTGGCGGGCACCTGAAATCCCAGCTACTCAGGAGGCTGAGATAGGAGAATCACTTGAACCCGGGAGGCGGAGGTTGCAGTGAGCCAAGATCACACCATTGGACTCCAGCCTGGGTAACCAGAGTGAAACTCCATCTCAACACAATAAAAAATAAAGTCAAAAGTGCATATTTCACGATAATGGGGTTATAAATGTGCCTTTTTAGTTTGTTTGTTTTCAAATTGAAGGACCATCTTCTTCTCTGCGAGGGGGATGCACCGCTGCCAATGGCAGCAGCACAGGAGCGGGGCCTGGCTGGAGTCAGCAGGCATTCAGGACGGTCTAGAGAAAGATGCCAAGAGCTCGCGTTAAGGGCCAGTGGAAAGAAAGCTATCAAGAGGTCTGCTGTGAGTGGCGTCCCAGGAGAGGGCAATTCCATGTGGCAGTGAATGGAGAGACTCAGAACCGCTGCTACACAGGCATCTCGGGGGAGACGTGACTGCCACGCTGATGCTTCCACTGAGAGACACTGTTATAACTTCTGCGTCTTCTTTTGAAATTTTAAGATGATATTAATGCATTTTCAGTTCTAACTACAAAAGCAATTCATGTTTGTTTTAACAGGTTGGTTAACACCCCAATCCTACTGGCAGAGAAAGAAAGTGACGCCACAGTGAGGCCTGGAGTCTCGCAGCCGCGCACTTACGTATCTCAGCAGGGCTTCCTCCCCGAGCGCTCTCACCAAGCCTTTGGTGTCCATCTGCCCCAGCCTGAGCACGTAGAGGGGCCGCCCATCTGCAGAGGAGGGGTGGAATGAGTTATCGGCACCATCCCAGTTGAAACTGAGGATACAACTCTAAGACCCTTAACAGGGAAATGTGTTCGCCTATATTCTAGGAGTACTTGAAGATCTTTCTGATTCTTAGAAGCAGCAACTGATTTGTGTGTGTGATGGGGGGTGTGTGTCCAATATTTACCCCAAAAAGTTGTAAATGAGAAAAACAAAAACCAACTGACAGAGTAGCTGTGCAGGGTCCTGGAAACAGAAGGCTGTGCTGGGACGAGGGGAATCCGGCTGGAGCTCAGCTCGGGCTGCCTATATGCTGGGCTCAGTCTGAACCACCGCCCATAAGCTGGGTTCACCTTGAACAACTGGGGCTGCCCAAGAGCTCTGATTTTCAACAGCAAGGGAACATCAAACTATCCAGACACTTCTATGACTACAGAGTACTTTTAAATTTTTCTTTTTTAGAAAATCATTTTTTTTCATACCACAGATTACTAAAAACTGAATGCAAGATTTTTAAAAGCCAGCTTCCTTCAATTCCCACTCTAAGGACCAAGATAAATGAGAACATTCTAAAAATCCTTAAAACCCCACCAGGCAGCCTGTGTTGGCTCGACTGTTTTTTTTTTTTTTTTTGGAGACGGAGTCTCTCTCTGTTGCCCAAGCTGGAGGGCAGTGGTGTGATCTTGGCTCACTGCAACCTCTGCCTCCGGGTTCAAGCGATTCTCCTGCCTCAGCCTCCCAAGTAGCTAGAACTACAGGTGCACGCCGCCACGCCCAGCTAATTTTTTGTATTTTACTAGAGATGGGGTTTCACCGTGTTGCCCAGGCTGGTCTCAAACTCCTGAGCTTGGGCAATCCACCCGCCCCGGCCTCCCAAAGTGCTAGGATTACAGCCATGAGCCACCGTGCTGGGCCTCCTTTTTTTTTTTTTTTTTGAGACAAAGTCTTGCTCTGTTGCCAGACTGGAGTGCATTGGCACGATCTCGGCTCACTGCAACCTCCGCCTCCCAGGTTCAAGCAATTATCCTGCCTCAGCCTCCCGAGTAGCTGGGACTACAGGCGTGTGCCACCACGCCCAGCTAATTTTTGTTATCTTTAGTACAGACGGGGTTTCACCATGCTGGCCAGGATGGTCTTAAACTCCTGACCTCAGGTGATCTACCCGCTTTGGCCTCCTAAAGTGCTGGGATTACAGGTATGAGCCACCGCACCCGGCCTCCTTTTTTTTTTAGTAGAGACAATATCTCACTGTGTTGCCCAGACTGGTCTGGAGGTCCTGGGCCCAAGCCATCCTCCTGCCTTGGCCTCCCAAAATGCTGGGATTACAGGAGTGAGCTATCGCACCTGGCCTGGCTCTACTTCTTTATAGCCTGGAGGTCTAATGGGTGCCGCCTGAGAGGAGCCTAACTCGTCCCATACTGCCCTATCATCATGGGCCATCCACACAAAGGGAAACAGATCTTGGTGGCCACAGTGTACCCCCGGAGTCAGCACTACCCAGCCTCCTGCCACACTGTCCCAAAAGGGGCAGCAGAAGGAATGCAGACGGATCGTGCTCCTGAACAGGAACCAAGACTTGTCTTCTGTGGTTAACAGAGGACCAGCAGTGCCATGCTGACATGGGACGGAGGGTTGGAGGGTAACATTTATCTTCTATTTGTCACCTAGTGAACTTCATCTCCCAGGAGAATCTAGCTCTAGACCTGGTCTACTTAAAGCAAAACATTTTTATGTGCTCCAAAATCTTATGGAAAGGTCTATTTACAGAAAGTTTCTCCCAACGTTTAATAAGACACATTTGTTGAGGCCAGGCGCAGTGACTCATGCCTGTAATCCCTGCACTTTGGGAGGCCGAGGTGGGCAGATCATGAGGTCAGGAGTTCAAGATCAGCCTGGCCAATACGGTGAAACCCCATCTCTACTAAAAATACAAAAAGTAGCCGGGCATCGTGGCGCATGCCTGTAGTCCCAGTTACTCAGGAGGCTGAGGCGGGAGAACTGCCTGAACCTGGAAGGTGGAGCTTGCAGTGAGCTGAGACCTTGCCACTGGATTCCAGCCTGGGCGACAGAGCAAGACTCTGTTTCAAAAAAAAAAAAAAAAGACACATTTGTCAATGACTACAAACTTTTTAACCTTTTACGGGCAGGCCTGTAACAAAGTGGAATAATATAAATATACATATTATGTTTCCAGTAAAAATTAATACAGTTACAATTAACCTGGAAAAATACAAAACATGAATTGGTAATTCCAGACAAAGCAGAGCTTTGAGCAAGTCCTCTGAAAGGACTTGCTTAGAGGGAAAAAGTCAGTTCTACAGTGCTTCCCTCCCGCCGATGCTTCCAGTTCCACCCTGCCCAGCTCTCAAACTTTGGCTCACGAAAGAGAGCGTAGTTTTGACAGTGAGGTCTTCCTGCAAGGCAGGGTATGGAAGGCATTCGGGGAACTGTGTTTCACGGTTCTCATTTAAACCACTCTTCATTTTAGGTGCATCACCTTCATCCAGGCCTTACTCCCAAAGCAGAACTAAAGTGCTCACGGCTGTGATGTAGAAAACCTGGCTGAACCTTTTTAAGCTCTCATAGGGTTTAGGTCATTGAAAAGTCCCTTTGTTAACACTGCGCTACTGAAAACACTCTGCCATAGGCACTGTTGCCTTTTTAATAGGTCAAAACAAACTGTACTGCACCGAGGAAATCAAGTCATTTGCCCAAGGATGACGAGCGTCCATGAGGAAAGAGCAGTCCCAGGCCCTTCCTGCCTGCCCAGGGCAGGATGGGAGTGTGCCCGCGGGGAAGCGTATCAGTCTGTTCAACTTGGGGAAGGTGCCAAATTCTCAGAGTGAGGAGAAACGATGCACTCAAGGGGCCCCACTCAACTTCAGGGAAGGAGGCCTTGGAAGATATCTTCAACCACACATCAAGACAATGACGGAAACACAGTTTCAACTCCATCCGGTACCTTTGTCGTGATGATGCCAGCCTCCCGCGTAGTAATCCTGAAGGACCTGAGGAGGGGTCCAGGTTTCAAGAATGTAGTCTACCTGGTGCTGCTTTCTCCACGTCAAAGACTGACACATGATCTCTCTGGCTTTGTCAATATTAAAATCCCGCGCACGGAGAAACCGAAGAATATGCTCATCTTTTGGAATCTATTGAGAGAAAAAGACGTTTCTAAGCAATGTTAACAGATGTGAAGGGAACTTTGGGAGGCCGAGGTGGGTGGATCACTTGAGCTCAGGAGTTCGAGACCAGCCTGGCCAATATGGTGAAACCCCATCTCTATCAAAACTACAAAAATCAACCAGGCATGGTGGTGCATGCCTGTAATCCCAGCTACTTGGAGGCTGAGGCAGGAGGATCACTTGAATCTGGGAGGTAGAGGCTGCAGTGAGCTGAGATCACATTAACTGCACTAAAAAAAGTTGCTAAGGGAATAAGACCCTAAAATTTCCACTTTTCTTTTGCAGACAGGGTCTCTCATTCTGTCACCCAGACTGGAGTGTTGTGGCACGATCTCAGCTCACTGCAGCCACCAACTCCTGGGCTTAGGCAATCCTCCCACTTCAGCCTCCTGAGTAGCTGGGACCACAGGCACACGCCACCACACCCAGCTAAGTTTTGTATTTGTAGAGATGTGGTTTCCCCACGTTGCCCAGGCTGGTCTCAAACTTCTGAGCTCAAGCGATCCTCCTGCCTTGGCCTCCCAAAGTGTTGGGATTACAGGCGTGAGCCACCAGGTCTGGCCTAAAACTCCCACTTTTAATCAACAGTGAGCTGCATTATTATACTATTTAAAATGAGCTGGTACCAGAAAAATCTCCCTTACTGCTCTAGAGAAAATCAGCATTATCAGTTTGAATAATCGTTATGGTATTTCATTTTAGTTTCTGCAAAGTAGAGCGAAGGCATAAATAATTCCCTAAACATCAAATGCTTCAATTCTATGAACGGATCTATGAATGACTATGATCTGTGCACTTTTCTGTACACACACTGCCTTTAAATAAAAAGTCAGAATAAAGAGAGAGCAGGACACCTGGCTTCTGAATGGAAACCTTCATAGTGCCAGCAACAAAAGAGAATTAAACACGGATGATGTTGAGAAAGTCAAGATTTTTGTTCCGAAGGGTGCCCAGTGCCACACCATGGAAAAGGGAAGCAAGCACAAGACTGGGCCACATCTCCACAGTCTCTCTGGGCAGAAGACAGGCCAGACTGCCGGATTCTCTTATATACAGATGCCAATAAGAACAAAGGCATCACCTGGAGTGAGGACACACTGATGGGGTATTTGGAGAATCCCTGGAACAAAAATGGTCTTCACTGGCCGGGTGTGGTGGCTCATGCCCGTAATCCCAGCACTTTGGGAGGCCAAGGCAGGTGGATCACTTGAGGTCAGGAGTTCAAGACCAGCCTGACCAACATGGAGAAACCCTGTCTCTACTAAAAGAACAAAATTAGCCGGGTGTGGTGGTGCACACCTGTAGTCCCAGCTACTTGGGAGGCTGAAGCAGGAGAATCGTTTGAACCCGGGAGGCAGAGGAGGCAGTGAGATGAGATCGCACCATTGCACTTCAGCCTGGGGAACAAGAGCGAAACTCCATCTCAAAAAAAAAAAAAAAAAAAGAAGAGACAGGGCAGACTTGAAAGTTTATCTCAAAACAGCTACTAAGAGTAGTAATTGGTCACTGCCTTATTAGAAAACAGAAATGTCATGACTTTTTAATGTGTATCATAATTTAATAGATCTCATACACCAGAATTCAGATCATGAACGATCATCAGAATATTTTTGTTGGGCAATCCTGATTTAACTAAGGCTGGCTTGTGGTTAAAGGACTATGTTCGGTTTTTTGAATTTTAATAATTCTGATTCAGTAATGTTACACTGCTTTCCCCTTCTAAAGACATGATTAGACTTCACTAGTAATGTTCAACTTTCACAAAGATCATAAATGCCATCTTAAAACCTACTGGAGATTGGTTTTATATCTGGGTTTACATAACTGGCTATATGACTCTATTTAAATACCGAGGAAATCCCTTCACTGCCTCAGAATCCAGCAAGACTCACCTGTATTTTCTATTTATTTGCCTCTTAAAGGCAAAGGCTGAAGATAAAGTAGCAATATTTACTTTATATTTCTGGCCTTAACTATGCCAATCTAATTAGAATTTCCTGTATCCAAAATGGTTCCCTTTACTTATTAAAAGGCATTTTAGTGTAGTTTATGTGTAATATCAAATAAGGAATATTTAACACTTCTCACATTTTATAATCTATAAGGTCAGATGCTTTTAAAAGTCAGTATGACAAGAAATAGTAGCAAGTTAAACTTCACTTTTCAATTCTTTACTACTTAAGTCAGACTAAGTCATAATTTAGCATTGTCTTTACAAAGTCATTCGAGGCTGGGCCCAGTGGCTCACACCTGTAATCCCAGCACTTTGGAAGGTTAAGGCAGGTGGATCACTTGAGGTCAGGAGTTCGAGACCAGCCTGGCCAATATGGTGAAACCCTGTTGTCTACTAAAAATACAAAACTTAGCCAGGAATGGTGGCAGAGCTAATCCCAGCTCTCAAGAGGCTGAGCCTCAGCAGGAGAATAGCCTGAACCTGGGAGGCAGAGGTTGTAGTGACCCAAGACTGCACCAGCCTGGGTGATGGAGCAAGACTCTGTATATAAAAAAAAAAATTCAAAAACATAAAACTGTAGAACTACCATGTGTCTATGTGATTGGCAATGGTGCTTTTGCCAACTTATTAGAAGGATTAAAGTAGAGGAGATACACACAAAGTTAAAAATTATGACTGATCATAAGACTTAAGATAATTAAAAACAAAAACCACAGAAAAAGTCAGAATACAAAAAAGCATGTTGGGTTTTCATGGTGTGGCAGTATTGCTGACTAACATATAGGAATCTTCTCCAGATTCCATTACTGTCAATCAACAGGTTGGCCTCCCTGAATGAAGAACAAGACCAAGGCCGTGTTCTGAGTGTCGCGTGGACTAAGTGTCTTCCTCCGTGGCCATGTGCTTACCAACTCAGAGGCTGGTCCATCAGGAGAACAAGAAGGGGGTGGGAACATGAGCTACTCATGACCCCAACTCCTGGGAAATAACTCAAAAGTATGTGGCCTACTGATGTGGCATCATCTTCACTCAGAAAGGACCACACTTACGTGGAAGTGGTTAAGAATGTAGGTTCTGGAACAAAATGGCCTGGGCTTAAATCCTGACCCTACCACTCGCTGGCTGTGAGACCTCAGGCAGGTTACTTCACTTCTCTCTGCCCCAGTTTCCTCACGTGTAAAACCAGTGAAAAAACACCACCAGAGAGAGCTGCTGGAAGGATGGAATAAAGGCCTGAAAACAGTGTCTAATACACAGTAAGTAGACAACAAATGGCGGCCATCATTACTGCAGTGGTTTTCTTGATGACTGGTATTCAACGGCACTCAGTTATTTGTTCTGTAGTAACCAGGCTGACAGAATTAGAGATCAGGCCGACTACAAGTCACGCCTAGTTTTCCTTTACTAAATAATGCCAATAACTTGCTAGATACATACCAGGCTCTGCTCACTACAAAAGGCTTACCATAAAAATCTACACCCTTATGAGGCTAAAATTTCACCAAAAACCTGAAAATTAAAGCTCAAACATTTCTAATCTCTGATAAATCTATGAACTCTTTTTACACCTTCTGAAAATTTGAACGTATGAATACTTGGAACACATGCTGCTTTGTGATGTGACACTGTCTGTAGCCAGACCTTGCTCTGTAAAGTCTAGAAAAATGTAGTGAGTCATGAATCATCACTTGCTTAAAGGACTTAGATTCCACAGAGACACAAATTCAATGACTTCTAAACTGGAAGAAAGCTTCCCAGCGGTGGAAGTTGGGAATATTACTCTTGGTGACCATGAGCAGGAAGAGATTCCATGATTTCACGTAGCTCTGGCCCTGCACACTGGGCATGGTACCGACACTCACTTTGCCCTTGTGGGTCTCCTGGAGCCACTGGCGAAGTCTAATGAGGCAGCTCTCCTGCAGCGGAGTCAAATCGCCCAGGTATCTCTTGATGTAGTCAGCATCTAGTTTGTCTGGAATGTAAGTGACATTTATTTACAACAAAAACACTGGAGCTTTAGGCTCCCAAAGTCTTCCTGCTCAGTGGAGTTAACGTGTGGTCTTAGAGTCTTAGAGGCAAATGAAACCGCAGAGATGGTAGATGTAAACCAGATACCCTAGAGGACTCTAGGGACAGGCTTTGAGATCAATCACTGACTAAACCACAGGTCAACTTTCTGACTCAATTATCTTTCCCTGATTACCACTGAGTTACCTCTATTGCCAAATCACAATACTATTCGTGACTATAAGAGATATTAATGACTGTTTTAATTTCAAGAGGAACATAACACAAAAAGGACTCACAAGATATAAAATTTATGGAAAAAAAAATCCAGGAAATCTAAATCTATTTTGAATAGAGCTACTGTGTTCAAGAATGTAAGAAATCTGGTGGCTCATGCCTGTAATCCCAGCTACTCAGGAGGCTGAGGTAGGCAGATCACCTGAGATCAGGAGTTCAAGACCAGCCTGGCCAACATGGTGAAACCCCATCTCTACTAGGAATATAAAAATTAGCCAGGCATGGTGGTGCATGCCTAAAATGCCAGCTACTCAAGAGGCTGAGGCAGGCGAATCACTTGGACCCGGGAGGCGAAGGTTGCACTGAGCTCAGATCGCACCACTGCAGTCCAGCCTGGGTGACAGAGCAAGACTCCACCTCAAAAAAACAAAACAAAACAAAACAAAAATTAGTCGGGCATGGTGGCACATGCCTGTGGTCCCAGCTACTCGGGAGGCTGAGGCAGGAGAATCACTTGAACCTGGGAGGTGGAGGTTGCAGTGAGCCAAGATCACACCACTGCACTCCAGCCTGAGCAACAGAGTAAGACTCCGTCTCAAAAATAAATAAATAATAAATAAACAAACACACAAATTCCTTCCTTAGGCCAGGCGTGGTGGCTCACACCTATAATCCCAGCACTTTGGGAGGCCAAGGCAGAAGGACTGATTGAGCCCAGGAGTTCAAGACCATCCTGGGCAACACAGTGAGACCTGATTTCTTAAACAAACAAACACCTTCCGGTATCTATAAAAGAATAAAAATAACTTGATATAACCCTTCCAACCTATTAACAAAAAATCTAATGGAAAGTAGAATGAGTGTGTTACATACGTTAGAGGACAAGGGCCAGAAAAGAGATATAGGTCTTTTCTTTATGAGTTATCTAATGTTCCAAGGAAGCGGGAACAGGCAGAGCGAACAGAGAGAAAGCGGCCATGCTGACTTCCCTAGCCTTGCTCTCGGGATGAAGTCCCTGCCAGACCCACCGTCAGGGGTGCCCACCACGGGCTCAGGTGCACTGGGGCTGCTGAGGGCATCACCACTCAGCCCCTCCTTGAGGGCAGCATCTGGGATGACGACGGCCATGGACGCTGCTTGTTTCTTGCAGGATGACAAAGATGTCTCTGAACAGGGTGTGATGGAAGGCGGAGTCCAACGGGGCACAAAGGTTATGCCTTCTTCTTCTAACTGGCGAAGGTAGTATTCAATGATTTCCTTTCCCTTTAAAACAAAAGCAATTTAAAGGTGAATATATATTCAATATTCAAATCATTCATCCCTCCCAAGATTTTTCTTTTTTTCTAGCCAACAGAAGATGGTGAGCCTCAAAAGCTTTTTTTTTGAGACAGGGTCTCGCTTTGTGGCCCAGGCTGGAGCGCAGTGGCATGATCACAGCTCACTGTACTCTTGACCTCCTGGACTCAAGCCATCCTCCTATCTCAGCCTCCCCAGTAGCTGGGATTACAGGTATGTGCCACCACATCTGGCTAATTTTTGTGTTCTTTGTAAATATGGGGTTTCGAAATGTTGTCCAGGCTGGTCTCGAACTCCTGGGCTCAAGCAATCTGCCCACCTCAGCCTCCCAAAGTGCTGGGACTACAGGCACGAGCCAGTGCGCCCCAGTCCCTCACAAGCTTTTTAAACACCAGTAAAACTGAATTGCTACAAAATAAATAGAAAAAAAAAAAAGGCCAAATGGTTTTGTGTGTTTATTTTACTTGTTCTTTTCCAAGGTTTAGGAACTAATATCTAAAGAGATGGAATTTTTATATGACTATTTTAAAATGCTGATTTATGGTACTTGTACTCAATATATGATTTCTGTCTCAATTTCAATTCTTTTCAACGCAGTACCCTGAAAATGAGCCTTCAAAAACCACTCCATAATCCCACATGGATAGATTTCAAAACCACAATTCCATAACAACTGATGAGCAACAACACAAAAACGAGAAAGGAAGGTCTTCCGTGGAAGAACTGACAATCCAAGGGGGGCAGCCTGCCTGGCAAGCACCTCCCCAGGCCCCCAGGCCTCCTCCCAATCCTGCTGCAAGGCCTGGGTGCTGTGTGCCAGCTGCTGCTGCCTCTCCCCAACTTCTACCTCTCTCAGCAACTCCAGGCAGACAGTGTCATAGCGTGAGCGACAGGCACCTCCTTCCCCCATCAGCAACCAGCACCACCTTAACCCCTATACCTAAAGATGAGGCGGGAGTAGGGATCACAGCGTCTTCCACCCAAGAAATGCTGCAAACCCTTCGCTAAACCCATCCCCAGCCTTCCAAAAAGACGGGTCATCTCAGAGACTCCTGCCCACCCTCTGCCACAAAATCCCAAGATACACTCACTTTTTTAATGTTGCTGGTATATTGTTTCATTGCAATTTTTTCCACAGTACTTTCAAAACCAAAGAAAGATTTAATATCTAAACTTGCAGACTGTTCAAAACAGGTCCAATCTTCATTTTCAGGGTGAACCTGCAGATAAAGAGAAAGCACTCTCACTGACTGAACTGACAACAGAACATCATTTGTCTGCTCCTCAGTTTAACCAGGAACCAGAAGAAACACTTACTTTACTAATAATGCTACTATCACAAAGACAGCAGATGGAAAAAATGCCAAAATCATGTTCAAAAATCAGGACCAAAATCACATTCTAAATCATGAAGAGATCCAAATAATTGTTCAAAAACATTTCAAAGATGACTATAAAAAGAGAGCTTCGGCCAGGTGCGGTGGCTCACACCTATAATCCCAGCACTTTGGGAGGCCGAGGTGGGTGGATCACGAGGTCAGGAGATCGAGACCATCCTGGCTAACACAGTGAAATCCTATCTCTACTAAAAATACAAAAAATTAGCCAGGTGCGGTGGCGGGCGCCTGTAGTCCAGCTACTCGGGAGGCTGAGGCAAGAGAATGGTGTGAACCCAGGAAGCAGAGCTTGCAGTGAACCGAGATCGCGTCACTGCACTCCAGCCTGGGCGACAGAGCGAGACTCTGTCTCAAAAAAAAAAGGAGAGCTTCATTTTCATTCTTGCTTCATTCATTCAACATACTCACTCAATAGTCTTCTCCATCATGAACAAAAAGGTACTGGCCTTGGAAGCTTTCAACAGAATCTAACAGAGGAGACAATCAGCCAGAAACACAGTATGTAAGAAAATTAAAGATAAGTAAGTGTTATGGAAAAAAGAAACCTTGAAGCAGGCTGAAAGAACCAGGGATAGGGGTCAGGCATGATGGCTCACACCTGTAATCCCAACACTTTGGGAGGCCAAGGTGAGAGGATGGCTTCAGTCCAGGAGTTTGAGCCCAGCCTGGGCAACAGGGCAAGACCTCATCTCTACAAAGAAATTTAAAAATTAGCCAGGTGTGGTGGCATGTGCCTATAGTCCCAGCTACTTGGGAGGCTGAGGTAGGAAGGATCACTTGAGTCTGGAAGGTGGAGGCTGCAGTGAACTGTGATTGTGCCACTGTACTTCAGCCTGAGTGACAGGGCAAGATCCCATCTCTGAAGGAAAAAAATAAAGACTGGGGGTTGGGGTGTCGGGCTGCAGAATTGGGGGTTGGGGTGGCTGGGGCTGGCCAAGAAGGGGTAACCTGAGCCGAGATGGGAGGAGGTGAGACTAGAGACGTAGGGAGGAATAGCACAGCACGGCAGCGAGGACCTTGGAGCCACAGCCCCTGAGGGATGCCCACCGCATGGCAAGGAGGACAGGAAAGGTGTGACCAGGAGAGAACTCAGGCCCTTGCAAGCCACCATAAGGACTCTGGGCTCTTCCCCTGGGTGAACTGCGGAGACACTCCAGGGTTTTGAGCCCAGAGAAGTGACTTGATCTGACACACTTTAAATAGATCACTTTGAATTCAGTGTTAAGGATACACTGCAGGGGAGAAGGGCAGAAATACAGCAATCTGGCAGGAGAGTATTCTAAAATTCTGATAAAAGAAGTTCTTGACACAGGGTGGTAAGCAGTGAAGATACTAAGACAGATAAACACTCGCGGCACTAATCTTAAAGGCACACATCTTAGTACTTCATTAGATATTTCTAACATATTACAGTGAGACTAGAAAAGAAGTGGCATATGAAAGTAATATTTAAGGCCGGGCGCGGTGGCTCAAGCCTGTAATCCCAGCACTTTGGGAGGCCGAGGCGGGTGGATCACGAGGTCAGGAGATCGAGACCATCCTGGCTAACATGGTGAAACCCCGTCTCTACTAAAAATACAAAAAACAACCAGGGCGTGGTGGCGGGCGCCTGTAGTCCCAGCTACTCGGAGGCTGAGGCAGGAGAATGGCGTGAACCTGGGAGGCGGAGCTTGCAGTGAGCCGAGATCGGGCCACTGCACTCCAGCCTAGGTGACACAGCGCGAGACTCCGTCTCAAAAAAAAAAAAAAAAAAAAAAAAAAAAAAAAAAAAAAAAAAAAAAAAAAAAAAAAAAAGTAATATTTAAGGCTGGGCGTGGTGGCTCATGACTGTAATCCCAGCACTTTGGGAGGCTGAGGCAGACGGATCACAAGGTCAGGAGTTGGAGACCAACCTGGCCAACACGGTGAAACCCTGTCTCTACTAAAAATACAAAAATTAGCCAGGCGTGGTGGCAAGCACCTGTAATTCCAGCTACTTGGGAGGCTGACAAATGAGAATCACTTGAACCTGCAAGGTGGAGGTTAAAGTGACCTGAGACTGTGCCACTGCATTTCAGCCTGACTGACAAGAGTGAAACTCCATCTAAAAAAGAAAAAAAGAAAGGAAAGAAAGAGAAGAAAGAAAAGAAAAAAAAGAAAAGAAAAGAAAGGAAAGAAAAGAAAGAAAGAAAGTAGGCCAAGGGGTGGATCATGTGAGGTCAGAAGTTCCAGACCAGCCTGGCCAACATAGTGAAACCCCTTCTCTGCTAAAAATACAAAAATCAGCCTGGCGTGATGGCGTGTGCCTGTAATCCCAGCTACTAGGGAGGCTGAGACAGGAGAATCCCTTGAACCTGGGAGGCGGAGGTTGCCGTGAGCCAAGATCATGCCACTGCACTCCAGCCTGGGTGACAGAGGGAGACTGTGTCTCAAAAAACAAAACAAAACAAAACAAAACAAAAAAAACAAAAGCAAAACCAAATCAAGGCATCACTTAGCTGCCTTAACTGCCACAACAACATAATCTACTCTGCAGGAGACCATACCTGGTACCCTTCCTCCTACACATGAGAAATAAGTGACAACATCTAATGAAGAACTACCCTCTAAGACAAAAAGATGCACTGTTTAAAATGGTGATCAAACAATCCTCAGAAGCCACATGTCAGCAGAACGTCTTCCACGGAGTGACAGATTACTCACGGTGTAGCAGCAATGCTCGTTAATGATGACCCGATTGGAAAATGTTTCATTATGAGCCTCAATGTGCAAAGTACGTTCCCGAGAATTCAGTGAGTTTTTCTGGACAAAATAAACATAATCAACTCCTGCAATCTTAAAAAAAAAAAAAAAAAGAAATAAAGAGAAAAAGTGTTAACTAGTAACATCCAATTGCACAGAAGCTGTAGTATAACTTCGTGTTGTCTTCGGGAGGGGCCCTCCAAGACGCCCTTTCCGCCCGTTACCTTCTTCAGCAGTCTGGGTGCATCGACATCCAGCTTGCAGCGCCTTTCAATGACATGAATAGCCCCATCTTCACTCTTGAATTCATTCACAGTGTCACTGCCCACGAACATTGGAATCAAAGGACACGTAGGGAACCTCCTTTCATAGGCCTATGAATTTAAAAACAAAAAAAGCGGAAGTGAGCAAAAGACACATCCTGATGTCCTGCCGCTGAACGTGTTCTCCCCGGAACAGCACCTCTCGGTGCACGGCAACGGGCAGCGCCACAGCGGTCTGTCTTCACATCTGAAGCTTTCATTAAAGAAGAAAAAGACACTCGATGTCCATGGATTGGAAGATTCAACCTAGTAAAGATCTCAATTCTCCCCATAACTAACATCATTCCTAACAAAACCCCAGCAAGATGTTTTGGTAACTATAGACGAGATTGTTTTAAAATTTATATAGAAAGACAAAGGAACTAGAATAACTAAAACAACTTTGAAAAAGATGAATAAATTGGGAGGAATCAGTCACCCCAGTATTAAGGCTTACTATACAACTACAGTAATCAAGACCGTCTAGTATTAGGAGAGGGGTAACTGACATACAGATCAATGGGACAAAATACAGAACCCAGAAACAGACTCAAACAAATACACCCAACTGATTTATTTTTTAGTATCTGCACCTTTGTCAGGAAACACCAATTGATTTTCAACAGAGATGTAAAAGCAATGGGGAAAAGAAAGGAGGCCAGTGTTTTCAACACGTTACTGGAGCAATTACACATCCATAGGCAAAAACAATAAAAACAATGAATCTTGACCTAAACCTCACACCTTGTATAAAAAGTAACTCAAAGATCAGGGACTTAAATGTAAAACACAAAACTAAAACTTTTAGGAAAAAAGATAGAAAATCTTTGGGATCCTGGGCTAGGCAAAGAATTCTTGGATGTGACACCAAAATCACAATCCATAGGAGAAAAAATAGATAAAATGAACTTCATCAAAGTTAAAAACATTTGATCAGCTAAAAGACCCTGTTAAGGCCAGGGGCAGTAGCTCACGCTTGTAATCCCAGCACTTTGGGAAGCTGAGGCGGGCAGATCACAAGGTCAGGAGATTGAGACCATCCTGGCTATAGACACGGTGAAACCCTGTCTCTACTAAAAATACAAAAACATAAACTGGGAGTGGTGGTGGGCACCTGTAGTCCCAACTACTCGGGAGGCCGAGGCAGGAGAATGGCGTGAACCCAGGAGGTGGAGCTTGTAGTTAGCCACTGCACTCCAGCCCGGGCGACAAAGCGAGACTCTGTCTCAAAACAAAACAAAACAAAACCCGTTAAGAGGATGAAAAAACAAACTACAAAATGGGAGGAGGTATTTACAAACCACGTATCTGACAAAGGACTAGTGCCTAGAATACACAAAAAATTCTCAAAACTCAACATAAGTATAGTGAACCAGGAGAACACTGGTTCGGACTGAGCTCCTGCACCAGGGCCAGCAGACCAAACCAAAATGGAGTCCCTCTTGGTAACCTCCACACTACCAAGCCAAAAGTAAGCTGTTTATCTGACTTTCCAAGAAATCAGGAGAGAGAGAACAGCGAATCCCCCAAACGGGCCAGTTTGGGCCAGCGTGATAAAGAAGTCCCCTCTGTGTTAACCTTTGCAAGGAAAGCCACTCTGAAACCACCCATCTGCTTGCTGTTCTCTGTGCCTGTTTCCCTCACCCCTTTTCTGTCTACAAAGCCACCTTCCTCTTCCGGGGTCATGAAAACACTCACTCTATTTTACAGAATTCTATTTTATAGAATGAGGTGTTGCCTGATTCTGGAACCAAAAAAGCCAATTAAGATCCATACACTAACATACACTAAATTTGTTGTAATTTTGTCTTTTGACACACAACTGAAATTAAAAAATGGTTAAGATGGTAAATTTCATGTGCTTTTACCATGATCAAAAAAAAAAAAAAAAAAACTCAAGAGTTTACAAAAGTCCAATTAGAAAATGGGCAAGAGACAGAAAGTGATATCTCACCTGAGAGGATACACAGATGGCAAATAAGCACACGAGAGATGTTCATTAGAGAAAAGGGCCATTGGCCGGGCGCGGTGGCTCAAGCCTGTAATCCCAGCACTTTGGGAGGCCGAGATGGGCGGATCACAAGGTCAGAAGATCGAGACCATCCTGGCTAACATGGTGAAACCCCGTCTCTACTAAGAAATACAAAAACTAGCTGGGCGAGGTGGCGGACGCCTGTACTCCCAGCTACTCGGGAGGCTGAGGCCGGAGAATGGCGTGAACCCGGGAGGCGGAGCTTGCAGTGAGCTGAGATCCGGCCACTGCACTCCAGCCTGGGCTACAGAGCGAGACTCCGTCTCAAAAAAAAAAAAAAAAAATCACAAAGGAGTATCACTATATGACTATCAGAATGGCTAAAATAAAACACAGTGACACCACCAAATGCTGGTTAGGATGTGGAAGAACTGAATCCCTTACACATCACTGGCAGGAATGTAAAATGGTGCAACCACTCCAGAAATCAGGTATCTTCTTAAAACCTAAACATGCAACGGTATACAACCCAACAACTGCGCTCCTGGGCATTTATCCCATAGAAATGAGAGCTTATGTTCACACAAAACCCTACACAGAAACATTCACAGCAGCGTTCCTCATAATAGAAACTGGGAACAACTCAGAGACGTCCTTCCTGAGCGAGGCTAAACGAACTGCACCGCGGCCACACCACAGAACACTGCTCAGCAAAAAAAAGAATGAACTATTGACACATGCGAGGAACTGGATGGATTGTGGGAGAATTACGCTAAGCTTAAAAAAAAAAAGCCTCAGCAGTTACGTACTGTATGATTCCATGTCCAAAACATTCTTCAAAAGACAAAACTTTAGAAACCGAAAACAGATGAGTGGTTGCCAGGGGCTAAGGAAGGGGTGGGGGCAGGAGGGAAGCAGGTGTGGTTGTAAAAGGGCCACAAGAGAGACGCCTGGGCGCCTGGGAAACACGCTGCGCCTCGACTGTAGGCACGGCAGCATCCTGTGACAGTGCACGCAGTTCTGCGAGATGTTATCACCGGGGGAAGATGAGTAAAGAACACATGAGATCTTTCAAGATTATTCCTTGTGAATAATTAAATTATTCAATATTATTCCTTGTGAATAATTTACTCTGTAGCAATCCACAAAGATTACCAAACTAAAGATGTTGCAGAATTCATACTAAAACCTAATCGATCCAGAGGCCCAGGTGTGCAGATCACTTGAGCCTGGGAGTTTGAGACCAGCCTAGGCAACACAGCATAACCCCGTCTCTACAAAAAATATAAAAATTAGCCAGGTGTGGTGGTACATGCCTGTGGTGGTACATGCCTGTAGTTCCAGCTACTCAGGAGGCTGACATGGGAGGACCACCTGAGCCCAGGAGGTGCAGGCTGCAGTGACCTGTGACTGCACCACTGCACTCTCCAGCCTGGGCAACAGAGTAAGAGTAAGACCCTGTCTCAAAAAAAAAAAAAAAAAGGAAATCCAGTAGCTCATGGTGCATGTGAACAGGAAACCATAGGATATAGGGTAATAAGGCCGGGTGCGGTGGCTCACGCCTGTAATTCCAACACTTAGGGAGGCCAAGGCAGGCAGATCATTTGATGCCAGGAGTTTGAGACCAGCCTGACCAATGTATCAAAACCCCATTTCTACCAAAAATACAAAAATTAGCAGGGCATGGTGGCACACACCTGTAATCCCAGCTACCAGGGACGCTGAGGTGGGAAAATCACTAGAACCTGGGAGGCAGAGGCTGCAGTGAGCCAAAATGGTGCCACTGCACTCCAGCCTGGGTGGCAGAGCAAGACTCCGTCTCAAAAAAAAGGGGTGAGGGGGGCATAGGGTAGTAAGAATCTAGGCTGTAAGAAGGAACCTGAAAAAGGAAATCCAGTGCCTGCCCCTATGGTCAGCCTCATTATAAAGGAAGGTACTGCAGGATGACTCTTGCTTGACTGATAGATGTCACCCCTCTGTAAGATTGTATGGGTTGAGCATCCCGTCTCCAAGATGCCTGGGACCAGAAAGGGCTTCTGATTTCAGATTTTTTTCGGATCTTGGGAATAGCTCTATTATACTTACTGGTCAAGCACCTCAAATCCACAGATCCGAAATCCAAAATGCTCCAATGAGAATTTCCTTTGAGCATCGCGTCAGTGCTCAAAAAGTTTCTCATCTGGAGCATTTCGGACTTCGGACTTTTAGATTTGAGATGCTCAACATGTACTAAAAAATGAGGTGGGGTAAAAACTGTGAATTCCCATCTTAAATTAATCACAACCAAAAACAGAGTTAAGGAAGAAACCTCTGGTGTTAAAAAATATTAACGAAAATGGCACAAACGGCTTTGATTTTACTTCTGACAAGTTACAAGTAGCTTCAGGGCATTATCATACTAAAAACACTCCCTTTCTGGCAGCAATTCCCTGATGTTTACCTTCAACAGGACTGCCCTTCTGAGTAGAAGTAATACACAGATCACAAACACTGCCGCCAAGATCCCAGAAGGACTAGAGAATCACAGGAATTCCTCCGCCTGGGTTTTGACTACAATTCCTTCAAAGTCACCCTCAGTTTTCTTGCGTGTATCTCACTTTCTCTCCACAACGTTACAAGGTTAAATCAATGTGAAAAGCACACGCTACACTCCGGCAGCCTACGTACAAGGGACCAAGCTAGTCAGTACAGGAGGGAGGGAAGGGAGTCAACAGCATTCATGAGGGTGAGAAGGATAAGCAGCTGCCAGGAGGCAGAAGAGGGAGAACATGCTCTGCATGGAGGGGTGGGGTGGGGAAAGCCTTGAAAGAGAGGAGGCACACATGCTGAGCCTCGAAGCGTGCCAGGGTCTGTTCACAGTCAGCGAGGTGGAGAGCGTTTCCAGGAAAGAACTCAGGAGTGCGACTGCAAGGCGACCTCCAGTGGAGGCACGGACCCAAAGCCCCCAGGGGAGGGAAGTGGTGGGAGGTGAGGCCGGGGGTCTCTGTGGTGCATGACGATGAGGCACAGACCATGCCTTGCCAGGCGCAGATAGAAGGCCCTGGCCTTCCTCTCCAGGAGCTGGGATGGAGGGAGCGTGAACAGGTGGCCAGAGTCACAT